TGCCGGTAGCGACAAAAATTGCGGGGAACCCTGCAAAAAACGCATCTTCGCACGGGCAGCCCGTGCACTGGCCAATTATTTATATCTATGCAGTGCAGGAAATGCATATTGACGAGAGGTTGTCTCTGTGTTCGTCTGTAGCGATTTTTACCTCGAGATCTATGAAAGCTACAGGGTTGAAACTTTGGGAACTTAAACTACATGTACATGGAGGCCCAAAATGGGGCGCTCTTACTCGCATGTTGCCCACGTACGAGTCCGCCAAAGTTATTGACAAGCACGCTACTAGCTCGGGAACTAGAAAAGATAAAAGCCGAAATTTTAAGGAGATGTTCCCCATCCATGCAGATCTTAATGAGTTCAAACCCAGTCTTCGGGTATGTGTGGTTCTTACGTACGGGTCCTTGAAAAATTTTTTTTTTGGGTAAGTTGCAACTCGGGAACCTGAAAAGCTAGAAGACTGGAATTTTACAGAAATGTTCCTCGTCCAAGTAGGTATTAATGAGCTCAAACCCAGCCTCCGGGTATGCGTGGTTGCCACGTACGGGCCCGTAAAAGTTTGTTTGGGCAAGTTACTAGCCCGAAAATCAGGAAAGCTAGAAAGCTGAAATTTTAAAGAGATGCCTCCTGACAGTCCTAATGGCCAGCCGCAATTCTTTTAGCTAAAAGCATTTCCGGAAAAAAGCAGTGCCGTTAGCAACAAAAATTTCCAGGGAACTGTGCAAAAAACGCATCTTCGCCCCAGCAGCTGGCACGCTAGCCATTTATTTAATTTTGAAAAGTGATGGGTACGCTCACTGAATTGCAGTGATATCACGAGATCATGCGGTAACGTCACGAGGTTCACGAGATCGTTTACTTCATTTCCGTAAAAAGAAAGAAATCTGAAGCGCGATGATGCTATTTTCTTAAAATTTTACTAAAATATACCTTTAAACATCAGAGAAGAATGTGCGCTATTTGTGGAAGAAGCGTCAAAAATTATAGAGCATTTATTTAGTACATATACAGATTATGGACGCTCCAGTGAGTGTGTAGAGCACAAGAGCTGATGTGGTCCACTCCAGGCTGTATTCATTTGCAAAAGGACTCCGTTTTGCAAGACAGGCCACAGATAAGTTATTAAACTCTGTTATAGTAGAGATTTGTTCATAAGAGATTAGATCTTTTTTAAGTATCGGAATTTAAACCCAGGCTGGGACGCACCGGGTGGGCCCGCGCGACCACGTGTTTTTGCACCAGGCTTGAATTACTCAGGTCATTAACTGCATGAATGGCTGTTGCTTTACACCTATCTTTTGCGGTCACTAGCATAAATCATCATGAATTTTGTAAAGTAAATGTACAATTTCCATTTAACAATCGTCCTTTAAAAGTATCTTGGTTGTTCAGTGAGAAATTTTTTCGTAAGACTTTCAAATGCCCGCACGTAAGAACCATACATACCTCAAGGCTGAATTAAAATATTTAAGTTGTACTTGGATAGGGAACATTCCGCCAAAATTTCAGCTTCCTAGCTTCCCTGGTACCCGAGTTAGCAATTTCCCCTCTAAAATTTTTATATGCCCTTACGTGAGTGCCACGCGTAACTGGGAACTGAATTTGAAATCTTTAACTAGTACCCGCGCAGGGAATATCCCTACAAAGTTTCAGCCCCTTAGCTCACGTAGTTCCTGAGATCGCTCTCCCGCCAAAAAATTTGCATATTTTTTTAAAGCGCCCGTACGCAGCACCCAGCGTCCGCAGGGAATGAAATTAAAACGGGAGGTCGCGCATGGTATGGGCGCATACTCTCAAATTTTCAGCCTTCTAGCTTTTCTGGTTCTCGAGTTGAAAGTGGGTCACAAAAAGTGCGAGCACACACACACACACACACACACACACACACACATACACACACAGCCTGTTCCGATTATACGTTTTTTCAATTTGCATATACGCAAAAACGCATAAAAAGATGAAATTCATTGAAACGCGCAAGCCAACCCTTCGTTGAGAAAAGATTGCTAAATCTTCGGTTCATGACTCTGTTTTTTAGCGAGGATTTTATAACAGGATTTTTTAAATAAATTCTTTTGTGTGAGCGAAATGCATCGATTTCAGATCAAATCAGTGCGCTAGTAGCAAAGAATTCTCCTGTACTTCTGTGATTAGCTGCAGAATATGAGAAGGCAGAACTGGCAGACGGGTTTCGAAAAACTCGTCAGATACTCTAGAGGCAGTCAGCATTATCAGTGGTGCCAAAATTAATGTGTAGATGGATGCCTTGTCAATCAGCAAAATTGCTGCTTTCAAATTTTGGGTAAAACGATTTTTATTCTAGCATTTTGGATGATGGTGGATGGTGAAAGCCTAAATGCAGTGGAAAAGCCCTAAAGTGGCAAGAGTGAGTTTTAAGTTGTAGATATATTCTGAAGTTGCAAACACGTCTAGACAAACAAGGCGAAGACAAGCATCGAGCACAAAAGAATCTAGCTTATCGAGTTCAACCGTCACTGCAATAATTTAAGAGAACTTTATTTAAAGGAAAGCAATTCGAGAAAAGGCTGAAATAAGAATAATAAACCTAAACAGAAATATTTCAGTCCATTAAGTCGTATACATTCCTATTTATTACCATAAAACGGGGCAAAGGATTTTTGGAAAGCCACGGAGTTGGGAGATTCATAAAATCTTGTATGGTGTTCCGCCATTGAAAATTATTCCTCACATTCAAAACTAAGACCAAGAGCAACGTATTTAATGAACGAAGTGTATTTGTGCGCATTTATTTTGATAAGTCAGTTTTGCTTCGCAGCAAAGCAGTATGCATGGTGCTTCCTCAAACCACAGTGCGGCATTAAACAAAACTGGCACAGCAGCTTGCCTCTGCCCGACGATCGCTCACTGAGCCATTCATTTGGCTTCAAATTTTAAAAGAAAGACCAGAAAGCGGGGCTTTTAGAGGCTTTATTCAACTAAGCTCAGGGTGGGGCCAACAGCATTTTCAGTAATGCGAGCAATTCTTTTCTATTGCTCCCTCCGCCCAGCCCATTCCCTTCGAGGATCACTTCAGTTTCTTTATTGAAAGATGGAGGAGTTGCATGTTGGTCCTGCTGCCGCTGTAGAAGCACGACAGCCTTTTCAAGCTTGGCAGGACTGGACAAATAAAAATATTTTTACTTCTTCAATTGATGAAACGTTGATATCATATCAGGATGACCAAGGGAGTGCTACAGACGGTATGCAAGCCCAAGGTTAGTTTTCATTATCTCATTTCAGTTTCTCCCAATTTGATTATACTCACAGGTACGACTGTTGCATTAAATAATCATAATTCTGGAGAAATTACATGAAGGCTGGGCAGGAAACTGAACAAAACTTTTCAAAACACTATGAATAAATAAAATTTATCCGCTCCATTTCTTAACAAAAATATATTGTAATTGGCAAAGCTTATAATTATGCAGTTCTGTGAATAGAAATATCCCCTTCCTGACTATAATTATGTTGATAGTTCGCAAACTTGCACCTCGGTTTTGGCGATGACAATTTTTTAGATCAGATCAGCTAGAAATTTTGTGAGCCTGGTCCACAAACATATGTCGATAAATGCAAGGAAATCCAACTTGCAAGTCCCCCCTAAATCTCACGTATGATCAAGTGAAAATTGACGCAGTTTCCAATATAGTACTCAGTTTCTACTCATATAAACCTCTATCTAATCCGTCTTACTTGTTACGCAAAACTTATAGTATTAAGTGCCCTTCTACTCCTGTCACAACCGTCGTACTGACGAGGTCCAGTTGTGGCTCTGGTAAGAGATCTATATGACTTCACGGACCGAAACAATCCTTTGCAGTTTCTCAAAAATCCTATTTTTATGCATTTTTGCATATATGCAAATGCAAAAACATGTATTGACAAGAGGCCTTCTGTGTTTCTGTTGTCCGCACTTTTTGCTACCCATTTCCAACTCGAGAACCAGACAAGCTAGAAAGCTGAAACTGCGGGGCTA